GATAATAAATTGGGACATGTTGCTAATGCAGTCAAGAGCAAAACAAAGAGAATAATAGAAGATTTTAAGGGTCAAAGGTTTTTTACTTCCCATTTCTAATCTAAAGTTGATAAGAGTAAGTTTATTTGCAAAATGTGCAATGCCTACAAATTTAAAAAGACCTGTTTTGGCACATTTTCTATACCTAAAAAAGTGTCATTATATTTGCTTATTATTGCACTCCTACAAAAACAGGAAACATCAAGATTTGTTGTGTTCTGTCTTAAATTCTTAAAATAAATCTTAAGCAGTTTTGCTATTATACAATCCTATAGTTTATTTTCTTATTTTGCTATTTTCCTTCCACTGGCTGAATTTCTATAATCTCTGGTGTTTTTTTTTCTTCCTTTTAATAACTCAACTTGCTATCATTGATTATGTTTTCTTTCTTTCTTTAAAGCTTACAAAAATGTGTGACACCTGGAGATCTGTGTTCACAATCCATAGGTATTACTTGGTTTTTATTGTTTGGACTCTGAGGTTACGGGTCTATTTGAATGTTCACAATCTATCATAAAATGTGGTTTCATAAAAATCTATGTAGAAACATCATGGTAGGTTTCCATAACTTACCTTAAATAAATTTTAATTTGAGGAGACTTATGATTTATTAAAGACCACATCACCAATATTGTACTAACACCTTCAGGGCTATAGAATGTTGAATCTGGGAATTGCTATGTGTATTATTACATGATTTTAGATAGAGTTCAAAGAGTTTAATGTTATTTCTCCTTTTTCAGTACTCACTTCTGAAAAGACTGTGTTGATTTTAAACTTTAACTAGCTGCAAACATAAGATGTTTTGCAAGCTCAAAGGATGAGGTATATAATTCTGCAGATGGCTGTAAAATGTCCAACATGATTCACCAACGAAAAATTTTGGGCTTGTCTGGAGACACATCTTGGGAATAAGGAGGAATTCTGATGGACATTTATTCTTTCTACAGATATTATTATATACTTGACATATAGTGAGTGTAGAACCCTTAAAAAAGCAAAGAATGATTTCTGCCTGTTTGTAACTTACAGTCTATAGTAAAGAAAGGAATTCCCAGCCAAGGGAACAGCATAATTAAAGGCACAAGTTGTGAAAAAAAATTATTAGGAGAAATGGAAATGATTTGTAATGGCTGGAATAGAGTATATGTGGGTGAGAGGAACAGAAGAAAAGATGAGAAACATATTCAGAACCATACAACTCGTACTGTGAAACTCTCTTTAAAAATTCTAAATTACTGAAGAATTTGAGTATCTAAGAATAGATATTTACTATATGAAGTTCTGCCATGTGATATTTCTTGTACATTATCTTGCTTTAGTATTTATATTTCCTAATGGATACAAAACATTCAGAAAATATATTTTTATATGTTATTTATTTATTTACCAAGAGATGAACACTTAACTGAGCCATCCAGGTGCCCCCAGAAAATATTTGATAAAAGAGTAATACTTATGACTTTCTAAATTACTTCTTATAACATTAATGAGATCAACCAATACTAAATAGGATTTTACTAAATGTAAATGATTGCATAATTCTGAGTTTTCAAGAACTGAATAAGTTTACTGGTTAGTTTTTCTAAATAATGTACTGTGTTGAAAATAATTGGTAGCATTTATTGAGTCTTTCTGTGTGTCAACATTGAGCAAAGGACTTTACATGTGTTAACATGAATACCTACAACAATGTTACAAGGTATGTACTATCAGTCCTATTTTGGAGAGAAGAAAACTGTGCTCCAAAGAAATTAGGTAACATAAATAAGTTCTAGAGCTGAAAACCAAACTCTGCATCAGGCTCGAATTTACACACACACACACACACACACACACACACAGGACCACACACGTTCTCTCTGTTTTATTCCACCATACTGCCTTTCACTCTGATTTACAGAACTTCTATTTCTTGAAATTTAGAAGATTTAGAATACCTTATTTTTCTTGCAATTGCTTTAGCAATTATAATGGTTTAGGCTTGGGCAAACTATGAGTGAGAATATAAAGCTTTATGTCTTCATTGATGGTATATTATTTTATTTCTCTCTGAATCTTTCTAGTTCAAGCTTCTGAAATATATTTGCACAGGAATTACATAACACATTCATGCAATCCCTATAGTTCCTAATTAAGTGGTTAATTCATTTGGAATACTCAGTACTTTGAACTTTAAAAACAACAAAAAACTTGCTTATTTTTGCAAATTCCCTATTGTGCATCAAAGTTCTTCTCTAGTATAAAATAAACACTGTTGGTTTATTGGTCAAAACATCATCTCTTGACTTTTTTGGTAAAACTTTTAGATGTTGGGGATTTCAGTTTTATACAAATTGTATGCTCTAACTCTACAACCTGAAATGAAGTTATATGCCTCAAATATTAGAAAAAAATATTCTGTAACCCCTTTGTTATTTTTTTTTGTCTCTTATACCTTTTTCAAAACTACATCAATCACTATGTACATCAAAGGCATTCTGTACCGGGGAACTACCAACACAATTCTAAATAATCCTTAAATTATCAGGGATAAAGGGAACTCTGTCTAAATCTGAACATGGCATATATACATTTTTTTCATAGATTCAGTAGTTAGGAGTGGGTGCTATGTGTAGATTAGATTTCAATTGACTCATCATGACATATTTGATATTTTTATTCTTTTGAATCTGTTCACTATTCAGTATCAATGAATCTTACTTACCTTTCTTTTTCATTAGAACACTTATGAATGTGAAATTATTATTTACCCTTTATCTGTGATGTTTTCTTGAATAAGATTACATGAAAGCAAAGTAAATGAAATGAAAATGCACAATGAAATGAAGATCTTTAGATATTTATATTTTTGCTTCTCTTCTGAGTATGAAAGAAAAATGTGTGAAATTTGTTTTAAGATTTTTTTAATGTTTATTTTTAAGAGAGAGAGAGAGAGAGAGAGAGAGAGAGAGAAAGCAGTGGAGGGGCAGAGAGAGAAGGAGAAAGAGAATCCGAAGTAGGATCTGTGCTAACAGTTCAGATATGGGGCTTGAACTCATGAACCATGAGATCATGACCCGAGCTGCGATCGAGAATTGGAGGCATAACTGACTGAGCCACTCAGGTGCCCTGTGAAAAATGTGTGAAATTAATTGAAATAATGAATATAATAATACATACTTTACAGAAATTTATATTTTGTTACACAAATCGATAGCAAGCTCTATCAATCTATCAATCTATCAATCTTTATCAGTATCAATTGTAAATTAAATAGATATATACAGATATATATGTGTATTGGGGATATATTTTTATCCATATAAGGGTTGTTTAATATATTAGCACAGTATAATATTTAGCATATTTTATCTACCATATAGTATAATAGCCCACTGTTAATTTTAGTTAAACTGCCAAACACCATTCTATTTGCATTCATGTACGAAACTAATATGCTATTGGGAAATTAGTATAAGCTTATCAGGGCAATTCAACTCTGTTATTTCCTACATGTTTAATGGCAGTGAAGTGTAAAGAATGAGATGAAACACGAATAAATATACTTGTAGTTCCAATCCCATAGCTGACAGAAGCTTATTAAATCTGTATTTATTTTAAATTTCAGGAAAACATTAAAGACACTCTTTCGCTCCTAGTCATCCTGAAATGCAGCAACCCTTAAAATCAAAGTTTCAAAACACACCTACATTATAGTCAGTGGTAATCAGAGACACAAAACATGCTTGTTAGCGTTTTTGTGCTCCTTGTATAACCTTAGAGTGTAAAGAAGACAATTAGTAAGTCATTGCCATAGAGGAAAGAACACTGAATTAGAAGGATGAACATCACAATCTTCATTTCTTATAAATGTATTGACCTACGTTTCATTGTATTTTAAATGGGATTATTAAAACATTTGCTGCTCATGTAACAAGGTACTTTTTAGATGACTTGAGCTTCAGCCTGTGAAAGCAATTTAAAAATAACATGAGGTTGAAGCAGATTTATCCCAAGACTAAGATCAGTTATCACAATTCTACCTAAAAATGCAGCAATCTCCATGGAGGAGTATTTCATAAACTAATCTCTAAGAGACATAGGATAAATTTTATCAAGGACAGTTATATTCTCTTAAAACTGGTAGTAGCTGACATTTAATGAACATTAATTGTCCAAGTGTTCTCTATTTCTAACTTCATGTTATATGCAATAGCTTATATATATTACATAACATATATATTCAGGAGGAAACAGTTTGACACTGACACTTGTGGGACCTGGTTCAAGAGAGCAAAACATTTGAAAAAATACATAAGTCGAAATGAAATAGTTTGTTTATGGATGTCCCATTGTCCATGTAAAAGGTGTTTATAACCATTTATAAATTCTAAATCTCAACATAGTCATTTATAAATACATGCTTTTTTTTTATTGTTTTTTTTTATTTATATATGAAATTTATTGTCAAATTGGTTTCCATACAACACCCAGTGCTCATCCCAAAAGGTGCCCTCCTCAATACCCATCACCCACCCTCTCCTCCCTCCCACCCCCCATCAACCCTCAGTTTGCTCTCAGTTCTCAACAGTCTCTTATGCTTTGGCTCTCTCCCACTCTAACCTCTTTTTTTTTTTTTTTTCCTTCCCCTCCCCCATGGGTTCCTGTTAAGTTTCTCAGGATCCACATAAGAGTAATACATGCTTTTATAAATACCCAAATATCAAGGTTTAGAAGAAAAATCTAGATACAAGTTGTGTATATTGGATGAGAAGCTGATGGCAAAAGTCTAATGTAGATGACATTTTTATTTTGTGGCCAGCAAAGAGATACATAAAATGACTACTCTTCCCATCTCTGGAAAGTACATATTGAGATAATTATTTTTTATTAACTGTTAATGATTTCTATCAGTTTATCCTTGGATTTCCACAGCATCCTATGATGACTATAAATTTATGTTCACAGATCCTATGTAACTCCACATTTATCTCAAAAGGTTAGGTAAGATTGGATATCGCCACTCACATAACTACCAAAACAACAAAATCAAACTATGTCCACTTTGTGGTCTAAAGTTGTTTCTCGTTTAAATTTGCAAGGGATTGAATATTTTTTAAAAAATGTCTGTCTGTTTGTTTGTTTGTTTCTTTATAGAGTGAGTGGTGGGGGAGAGAGAGACAGAGAGAGAGAGAGAATTATCCCAAGCAGGCTCCATACTCAGTTTGGAGCCCAACATGGAGTTTGATCTCAACTATGAGATTCTGACTTGAACCAAAATGAAGAGCTGGACACTTAACCAATTGAGCCACCCAGGTACCCCAAGGGATTGTATATTTTTCTTTGCTTTTTTAAAAAAAATTTGTTTGTTTTTGTTTTTATGAATTGATTCTGCTCCTTTTTTCTTTTTGATTCTCTACTTCCTACTGATGAATACATGTGAGTTAGTAGGATGTTCTTTTTAATGTTTATTTATTTATTTTTGAGGTACAGAGAGATGGAGAGAGAGAGAGTGTGTGTGTCAGAGAGAGAGGAAGAGGGAGAGAAGCCCAAGCAGGGTCCCTGCTGTTAGCACAGAGCCTGGTGTGGGGCTCAGTCCCACAAACCGTGAGATCATAACCTGAGCCAAAACGAAGAGTCATACTTAACAGACTGAGCCATCCAGGCCCCCTTAGTAGGATGTTTTATTAAAGAAATGTAATGATTTTTTGTGCCGTGTGGTAGACACTAAGACTGAACACATCATTCATTCTTTCTTCTTTTCCTAACTCAGATGCATACATACTCTCTTCTCTTCCCAGGACACAAGAATGTTGTCTTTCTAAAAGACTTAGTTTATTTACCCACCAGTTTCTTGGATCTGTAGGTTTATAATGCTCATCATTTTGATTATTTAGCCACTATTCCTTCACATCTTATTTAAATATTTTTATCCTCCCCTATTTTTTCTTGGACTCCAATACATATGTGGTAAACTGGTATTGCCCCACCAAGAATGTCTGTCCCTTTCCTTCCTTCCTTCCCAGCCTCTTTCCTACTCCTTTCCCCCACCCTTCCTTCCTTCTTCCTCCCTCTCTTCCTTCCTCCCTCCCTTCCTTCTTTCCTTCCTTCCTTCCTTCCTTCCTTCCTCTCTCTTTCCCTCTCTCTTTCTCTTCTTTATCATCTTTTCTTTCTTTCCATCTGTTTAATTTTTTTCCCTTGCTTCAACAGTCTGGAGTTAGGCATGCTATTTTTTCAAGTTTACTTAATTTTTCTTATTCATACTCTAATCTAGTATTGAGCCTGTCTGGTAAAATTTTACTTTAGATATTGAGTTTTACAGCTTTAGAAGTTATTTTTTTCTGGCTAAATTTATGTTTTCTTTAAATACTTCTATTTAAGATGTTTTAACATCTTTGTCTTCTATTTCTGTGGTCTTCTAAATGTCTTCCATTGCTTTTTAGGTCTCATTCTACTGACTCATTTTTTTCTTGCTCGTGGGTCACACTTTTCTGTTACTTTGCATCTAGTAACTCTTGAAAGAATATTGCCTACCATGAATATTGTATTATGGATTTCTAGATAGAATGTTGATTAAAAAAACTTTTTAATGTTTATTGATTTTGAGAGAGAGACAGAGAGACAGAGAGACATGGAGGCACAGAATCTGAAACAGGTTCCAGGCTCTGAGCTGTCAGTACAGAGCCTGATGCAGCGTTAGAACTCAAACTGTGAGGTCATGACCGGAGCTGAAGTCAGATACTTAACTGATTCTGAACCACCCAGGCGCCCCTAGAATGTTGTTTTTCTTTTTCTTTCTTTCTTTCTTTCTTTCTTTCTTTCTTTCTTTCTTTCTTT